ATATATATATATCGTCAAATAGAACTGCCCGGTAAACCGTAGGCAGAGAGGGAGAAGAGGACAACAAACGAGGGGCTGTGACAAGCTGTTTCGTCGGAGTTTCACCGACTCATCAGGAGGCTATGTGTGTGTGTGTGTTTCATCAATTCCAATATCTATTATCTTCTGAATTTGGTTGTTTCTTGACATTGTGTGTTGATTCGTGTGCCTGCAATCCTTCCAGGTGAGGCCCACATCATTCGGAACGCCGGTGGGCGAGCTGCTGATGCCCTCCGTTCCCTCGTAGTCAGTCAACAATGCCTCGGGACCACCACCGTCATCGTTATCCACCATACCAAATGTGGAATGGCCTTTCTGAACGTCGACAACTTGAAAGCGAAGTTGAAGACAGAGCTCGGTGTGGCGAAAGTAGACATGGATTTCCAGGAATTTGGAGACTTGGAGCAGTCAGTTCTCGAGGACATGCACATAATCAAATCGCATCCGTTGATCGCCGATTACATCGAGGTCTACGGATTTGTGTATGATGTCGAGACGGGCACCATTCAGGAGGTCAAGGATGAAGTAGCCCCTCTTCGCTAAATCAATGTTGCGCAAAGGAAGGCGGAAGAAGGAAGAGGGCTGCAGAGAAGAAAAGCGTTTGAGCTTCGTTCGGAGTTTGGAGCTTGAAGAGAATTGCTGAAGACGAGAGCTGCAGCTGCTTAGCAAGGCAACATGCTTGCTGATGCTGATGCTGATGCTGATGCTGATGCTGATGCTGATGCTGATGCCTTACCTCTTGTAAGCTTTGAGGCTCACATCTCACAGAGCGTGATGAACATGGTCGCAAATCTGGTTTTGTTCCTCGCAGCTTAGCACAGCCAAAGCAACAGAAAGCCCTGGCTCTTCAGACGATCCCTATGTAAGGCCAGTGCACTACGACGTTTGGCCATTAGGGGCTAGCAATTTGCCATCTGTCCTACTTTTATTGCTTTTGGACCATAATTTCTCGTTATGTACATGTATTTTATTTTATTTTTTTTGTGTGTGTGTGTTGTTGGGGGGGGGGGGGGGGGGGGGGGGGGGGGGGGGGGGCATAGTTCATGCTCTTCCTTGTATTGGTCCAGTTTTAACTTTTAACAGACATATACAACACTTTGTCGTCTCCTGGAGTTAACTCAAATACTGTTACTTCTGCCGCATGTCACTCCTCTTCATGAACCGAGAGTAGTTTGCTTTCGCTACATCTGTTGCTGCAAGTTTGATTTTGTGCCAATGGCCGCTGCTTGAATGCGTAAGTTTGATTTTGTGCCAATGGCCGCCGCTTGAATGCGTTTTTTGAACTTTTTTTGTGTCGTGTGTGTGTGTGTGTGTGTGTGTTGCCACGCCTGCTGGTGTTGAATTTGATCTCACGGCAAAGGCTGCTCATTGCTTGTGGTCCCTTTTTTTTTTTTTTTTTTCCTTTTTCTTTTGCTGCTTGTGGTCATTCTTGATGCTGTTTTGTTGTGTCGTTCTTGCTGCTACCACTAATGGTTAATAGGTGGCGTCATTTTCGGTGAAATTTTCACAGAAAAAACTGCCATATTCCCTGAAATTTTGCTTCTTCTTCTTCTTTTGTGTGTGCGAGTGATATGTATTTGCTCGAAATTGCTTGTGGCGATGCGACGAAAACCCCCGAATTTTGGTGTGTGTGTGTGTGCGAGTGATATGTATTTGCTCGAAATTGCTTGTGGCGATGCGACGAAAAACCCCGAATTTTGGTCCTTCCATTAACCATCGCTCACTTGTGCAGATGCTCTCGTATCCACTGCCCCTGTCAGATGTCAGTGCTGTCAAGTTTACTTTTTCTGTTTCTTTGTCAGTTTTTTCTCCTTTTTTAAGTTTTTATTAGTTTTTAAGCTTCTTTTAGTTTTCGTTTATGCCACCACTACCTTTCTCATATGTGGGTTCGTGGGCCTCAAATTCAAATTCAGCCACCACGCGCCGTCGATGAAAAATATCGACAGCAGCATGGCGGCTATTTTTCAGGAGTAGGGTACTAAATGCCTGCGGCCGACATATGGGAAAGGTAGTGTTGGTTTAAGCAATGTGATGTGTTTTTTTGTCACTGCCGCGGTGTGGAGTTTGCTTTCATCGCGACTGCTGCTACTCTTGAGTGGTCGGTTTTTTTTTGTCGCTGCACCTGCTCTGATGTTGTCGAGGGTTTAGGGTATTGCCACAGCTGCTACATCTGCTTGCTGGCGGCCATTCTTGGTGCTGCTTGCTTGCCCGTGTTATTCTTATTGCTTCTGCTTTGCTCACTGTCATTCCCGCTGCTGCTCCTACAGGGCTGATCTTGCCTCTACTGCTGCCTGTTATAGCTGTTGCTGCTGCCGGCTGGCGCTTTGCAATGACATTGCCGCCTCCTGCTGGAGGTTCTTGCGGCTCCTGTCTTCCACCGAACGCAATGCACTCTAAGGCGTATCATGGTCGTGTACATTCATGATATCAAGGTGTGTTGTGTTCGGGGGAAGACCCTAGCAGAGTGCTGTTGCATCTGCTGCTGCCCTTGCTGTGTTTTGTTTGTGCTTGTTGCTGCTACAGCTGTCATTCCTTGAACACGACACGTCGTCAACATGACCGCATAAAGCCGGGAAATTAGCTTGTATACATTCATGAACGGGAACGTAGCTTGTATACATTCATGGACGGGAACGTTGCTTGTATACATTCATGGACGGGAACGCAGCTTGTATACATTCGTGGACGGGAACGCATGGTTTTGGGGGGAAGACAGGTAAATTGCTCTGCTGTGTTTGCTGCTGGCCCTGCTGCGCTGCCACAGCTCCCGGGGCATTAGTGCTTTACTTGCCGGTGTGGCCGCTATACTCGCCTCCCCAATGCGCCTTCGGTCTGGCGAGCACTCTGCCAACTCTTGCTGTGATTGTTGCTGCTTTTTGGCAAACTTGTGCGAAAAATAAAGAAAGTTAAGAAACCACAAATAGCATTTTTTTTGTACTTTTTTTGTTTTTCTTTTTTCGGAAACAGAACAGTCTCGAAACAGCAATCGAATAAGTTGTGTGCCACATTTCTCGTGTGTCTTTTTTTTACGCCTATTCATCAGGCAGCGAATGCGTGCACTCGCCGCCTGGTCCATCGAGTCATTGCAAGTGGGACCGTGCTCAAGCTTAGGTGTGTGAGAGGGTTTGACAAGAAAATAGTTCAAAATACCATCAAGGGCATACTCATACTTGGGACTGTGCTTTATTTTTGGAGCCCCACCAGCGGGCCCACCCTACTCCCTGACTACTGCCGCTGTTAGGGCAGGGGGCAACATGCAATGATCCTTCATCGTGAGGTAGCTATGCTTGCAGGGGTCCCTTGTATAGCCTTAGGACAAAGTGTTTTTGTTTTTTTTTTGGTAGTAGTAGTAAGCTGAAATGTCTCTTAGATAACCCTAGCAACTTTCAACTAAGCATGTGCACCTGTCTTTATACTAGGCAATTTGAAATACTGCAACATATTAGCGTATGTCTTCGTAAACCAAAAGTGACTCAGTGCGCATGACACCCTTCCTCAAGACGAACAATCCCTTTAACCACCAGTACTTGGGCACTGCGCGCCGGAGGTCGAAGCGACACAGGCTGTGGATTCGATTTATCCACGGCCCGCCGGCCGCGAAATTTTTGTAGCGTTAACGCTAAGGCCGGCCCCAAGTATTGGTGGTTTAAGCATGCTAAACGCCTCGCACACCTTCCAATCGAACATGTCGAGTCGTCTTATAATTTTTTGGAGAATGGTCTGTGTAGAGTAGGAATTTTCCACCTGACGATGTACATGCCGTTCTAACACAACGTCAATCACTAGCGCATCTGGGAAGTTTTCTCTCCTTGATAATGCATCAGCTACAACATTCCACTTAGGTTTGTCATATTTGAGTGTGAAGTCATATATATCTGCAATTTGTACCCCATATGTGAGAGCGTCAAAAATTGTTCTCTGTGTTGTGATCCATTGAAGCGTCTCATGGTTAGACCAAGCTTGACTACTTGTCCGACTCCACGTGAAGTACATACCTCTTTTGAGATGAGGAATTTGCTAACTTTTGAGATACCATCTCTAGACGTATACTTCATTGATTTCAACCAATCCTTCTCTGCTTACTTCCACATTGTGCCTATCCCATAATGACTGGTGTCAACGGTAACCATATGTGGTTTCTTGACCTCCGCAATCCATAGGACATAGTGTTTCATAAGGCCAGACTTGAATTTCTTGAAAGCCCACTCCTCCCACTCCTTACGCCCAGATTTATTGCCTAATCAAGTTACTTGAATTTCAACTAGAATATGTATTGTCTAATCAAGATGCTTGAATTTCAACTATAATATGTACTGCCTAATCAAGTTATGCGAATTTCAACTAGAATACGTACTGTCAAATCAAGATGCTTGAATTTCAAGTATAATATGTAATGTCTAATGATCTAATGAAAGTTACTTGAATTTCAACTAGAATATGTATTGTCTGATCAAGTTACTTGAATTTCAACTAGAATATATATTGTTTAATCAAGTTACTTGAATTTCAACTGGTACATGTATTGTCTAATCAAGTTTTTTTACCTCTAGTACGCGATCTAGAGTACTCCGTCAAACAGACTTGAATAGTCCGTCAAGCAGACTTGAATTACAATGAGAATCCGTATTTTTTAATCAAGTTAGATATGTCAAGCAGAGTTGGATTTCAACTAAGCCTTCTCGAGTACACGATCTATAATACTATGTCATTCGCAAGGAAAGGTCTGACTACAGTTACCGACCGACGTCATGGCCAGTCATCGATAGCTGCAAATTTCAAAAAATTGTTACAAAACACAAAGGGTCCAATGCACAAAATTGTTCTATTTGAGTGTAATTTCTTTCTTGTTGGTTTTTTTTCTTAAACTATCTCGAAAAAAAAAACACTGTGATGCATAAAAATAGAGTGAACAACGTTTTGCCTCCGGGTCACATCGAAATTCATTATCAAATTTGAAATAGAATTAAAATTAAAAAATATATATATGTATATATATATACACAGGGTTACCAGCCCGTACGTACGGAGGTCCCTGGGCAGACCTCCGTACGTACGGGCGTTCGGGGTCCCGTACGGGGTTCGAACCCGACGGCGTTCGGCCCCGGCCAAAAATTATTTCGGGGCCTAAACATTTTTTTTTTTTTTTGGAATTGTTTTTTGTGAGTTCTCTATGACGTGAGGTACACGCCCATAAATTTTCAAGTCATTTGGCTCAGCCAAATAAGAATTAAAAATCGCCAAAGATGGCGGTGTCAAAACGTGCTTGCCCACGTTTTTTTTCACTTAGTTTTTGTTTTCACTTTAGTTCAGGGTCTAAAAACTTTTATTATTTTTTGAAACTTTTTTAGTGTGTTTTGCATTATATGAAGTACACATATCTGAATT